GGAGGAAAAGGGAAGGAAAAGAAGAAGTAAAAAACTTTAAGGAAGTGGTTTAACGGTTAAAAATTAAAAACTTCAAATTAGAAATGTTAAGTTTGAGTCTTGAATCAGAGGTTATTCTCTCTTATATAACTATAATCAAATGTATAAAAAAAAAAGGGTAAAGTAAAGGAAGGGAAATGATTAATATTAATTTTATTTGGTTATATAAAAGTAGAGGAGAAAGAAGGATAATATTTTTATTTAATTAAATAAAATTTTTTTAAAAATAGAATAAAATTTTTAATATTCACTAATTAAAAAATAAATTGATATAAAATATATTTATATTTTTTTAAAATTACAAAAAATAAATATATAAAGTTAATATCTTCGAATCTCTCCAATTTAAAGGGATTAAAAACAAAATAGTAGAAGAACTTATATCTCCCTCCATCTCCCTCTCCCTTCATTAAAGTTAGTAATCCAAACATGGAAAGGAAGCATCTCCTGCATCTTCTCCTTCCTTTCCCCTCCAATTTCCCCAATCCAGACTAAGACTTAATGAGATATGATAATTTCTTATTGTGGAGTCTACAATCAAAAGATAAATTTCAAATAAATAACAAAAAAATCTTGAAAATTCAACAAGGAAAAATTCCACATTTGGTTGAAAATTGGACCCTTTCTAGCTGTAGACTGGATGACAAAGCATGTATAATGCACATAATTTTGTATGTTTTCTCAGCCATCGACATCCTTGAATAAATCTTGTCATTTAAAGACAAGTCATATGCTGTTTTCCTTTTTTCATTGAGTAGCATGTAACTTTGGAATTGTTCTTGAAACCAAGCAACCTTGAATGTCTAATTTTTTTTTATAATCGAATTAACAGGACAATTCTAGGATATGAGAGCATTCTAACTTGTCATTTGTGCAAACTCATCTGCAAAGAATTGACCCCGCTTTTTTAATTTTGTTTTGTTGCTACCTAAGTCGATACTTTACTTTGGAAACCTCATCTTTAAGTATTCAACTTCTAATATTTTAGAAAAGCTAAAATCAGCTTAAGAAAAAGCTAAACATGCTTTGAAAACTCGTTGGGTAAAGAACAAGTTGAAGTACATTATATCTTGTATTATGGTTGTGAGTTAAGCATGTCTGCAAAAATTGCTCTATACACAATTAAAATCTTAAGAGTTCATTCCGAAATGCCTGAGATCAATAAACATCTCATCCGGTATGAACAATGTCATATGCTTTATCCAGAGAGAGTTACAATTTGACAAAGAACAATTTGCAGAAAAACACCTGTATTCTTCATATACCTGTTTCTTTGATGTATTGTGAATATGAACAAGCTGTTCAAGATTGCAACTTTCCAGTGAATTCATGGAGTTTCTGTTGTTCAAACTCCTCCATCACAACCAAAATTGTCAATTCCGGAAGCTATAATATTATAATACTCTATTGGGTGATCTTCGGGTGCTATGACTATCCAGGACAATTTCAAACAAATCAGCCTCCGACTCCTCGTCAAATTCCATTGCCGAATTGTTAGTGCCACCATTGAGGCTTCCCTTGGTCAAGTTCCGGTGAAGCCACTGAGAATCAATTCTCCCCATTGAAAACAGCTCTTTGCTGTCTTCTAACCCAAGGGAAGGGGTATTCACAAGGGGGCCAATGAAACAAGGGTTAGATGTCCGGTGAGCATTGGCCGGTGAATACATGAATGCACTCTGTCCAAAATTGACTAGAACAAGAACATCGTCGTTTGCTGCAAGAGTTGGATACAGGGGACTTCCGAATTCCTCTGTTTTGCAATTTATCACATGTACCAGCTCTGAATCTACAGTGAAAAACACTTTCTTTTGCCTCGGATCGAACCCGCAACCAATCACTTTCTCTGGTTTCCCCCAGTCTTCTTTCTCCGATCCAAACATAGCTTCAATCCCTGTAAAAAAAATGAAAAAAGGAAGAGAGATTCAGACTCCATCCCTTCTAAGGGTTGAATAAAATTTTTAGCATTTTTCTCTAAAAATGATGAAATGGTAGAATTTAGTACCATCTAGAAAGACAGAACCATCTGAATTGAATCCAATGGACCCAGGATAGCTTCCAGGGAGTTTCAAGGGAAGAGGGCCACCGGCTGTTAGCCCAACTGACATCATCACTGCGTCGCTTTCAAGTTTCGTTTCCTCAGAATCTGAATTCGTCATTGCTTTGAAATTTTCATGGATGAGTTTGATTCTCTCACCCTCCAGATCATTATCGCGGCGGCGACAGTACAGAATTGTGATCTCAAAATACGCCTCTTGAGGGAAAGCAGAGTCCCCCAACGGTGGCCCTGGTAACGGCAAAGCTGTTCTGATCGCGGCGGCTGCCCCCGTAGAATGTTGGGTTGCGCCCGCCTTCTTTAACCCTGAATTTAGCCTAATTTTCTGCATAAAATCCTCCGATCCCTGACACACTTCCCAACTTACCTCCACATCGTTTCCCCTTCCATACTCTCCCGCTGCGCATATACCCAACAGGTTTGATCTCGTGGATGGCGACGGTATGTAGCTGGTGAACCCAAATCTAGACCATCCATTCTCGACGGCTTCGGTGACCAGCGACGGATGATCAGCCCAATTGAACAAAGGTTTTGCCGAGACCCCACGTCGGAGAACATAGTAATTCCCAACTTTCCTACCGTCTAAATCGAGTTGATGATGCAGACTTGGTTGCTGAAGCTTCAAAATTCCGGCTTGGGAGTTCTCAAGACTAGCCCGAGTCCGGTCGGAAAAATCTCTCCGTTGTTTATAGCAACACCACCGCCACACAAAAATACCCAAACTGCTTGCAAGAAACACGGCGGCAACAACCGGCAGCGCTATATTCATCCACTCAATCATTCCTCCTCCGTGTTTGCTCTAAATTTTACGGAGATGGTTTTGCCGTGAAGGAGGAGAAACAGAGAATCAGAAAGCTTGGACCGAGACTCGTTCAAGAAAGGCAGGGAATCAGAAATGGTGTAAGCAAATGAGAAAAAAAAAGGAAAAAAAAAAAAGGTAATACAGTAAAGAGCATAACATTTTCTAAGAAATGGAAATTAAACCATTTTTAAAAAGTACATTTTTGCTTCTGGATGGCTTATTCTTTAGGAAATGTTATTGGGAAAATTATTTTATTTTTTTATATAACTTAATTTATTATTAAAATAATTAATTTTTTTAATTTATATAAAATTTATGATATTAAATATATGTATTTATTTAATAATATATTATATTTTATTAAACATTAGGTAAATTTAAAAACTTATAATCTTACCTACCATTGGAATTAAAACATTACGTTCCCAATTTCCCATCCTT